CTGGGGAAGGCTGGCGATGGAGGCAGCCCCTTGCTCCCATGGCTCACCCAGTCCAAAATGTGCCACGGGCTCCATCTCGCAGAGGTACCCCGATCCGCCATCGATGATGCGCAGGTGGGCCCCGCTGCGCCGTGTGAACAACACCACTTTGGCCCCCCGCGCAAAGGCTCCAAAGCGGGTGCGGGGAATGACGCGCAGCCAGTTGTTGCTGGTGCCCTGCAAGAGAGGTGGGAGCAGGGAGACTGAGCCAGGAGAGGCGGAAGGGATGGGGACAACATGAGGACCTCCTGCTTGACTCACCTGAATGCCCTTGAAGATGGAGATCGGCTGTGCCATGGACTCGCCGTGGGACAGGATGAGGTCCAGCATTCCATCACCATCAAAGTCTGTCACCGCACCCCCTGCAAGTACAGGATCATGTCACACCTGGGGCCTGGCCCCACGTATCCCAGCACTACACCCTCCTGCCAGTGTGGGCTCTCACAGGCAGCAGCAGCACTCCTGGCAATGCAGGGGCAATAGGGAAGATGAAGTGACCCCAGTGCAGGAGTAAGGTTCTCTGTATGGGTGTCACCCTGCAATCAGGTCGGTCGGCTCCCTGGGCAGTAGAGTGAACAGGCAGTGGCTAGGAGGGCTGTGGAACAAAGGTGGCTGCCTGGCCCCTTCCCAAACACAGAGGCTGGCTTTGAACAGTGGGCACACAGGAAGAAGCCCCCCAAGAGTGAAGCCCTGGGAAACAACTGGAGACAGCACCATTAGCTGGGTATAGCTGGAGAGAGAAAGCATGGGGCCTCTCCTGGATAATGGGGGCTCCAGGATGCTGGTAGGGAGCTGTCAGGTGACTCAGCCAGGCATGCGGCATTCCCAGGTGTAGAGGGTGCCAGGTGGCCCTACTGCCAGGGCAAGGGGTACCCACCTGTGCCCCGTCCCTCAGGCTCCAGCGCATCCCCTGGATTCAGCTCTTCTACGATGGGGTCTGCGTGCTCCCTGCGGATGAGCCTGCCGAGCACAGACAGGGCATTAGTGTCAGCCCCTGTGGTCCCCAGCACCTTCCCGCTCCCACAGCAGCGTGGTAGAGAGGTGATAGCTCCGGTGGCTATGCAGGGTGGATGGGGGACAGGGCTGGCCCCTGTCTGTTAGTACCTCATGTCCCAACTCCATGCAGGGTGTCAGGGACGGGATGAGAGCCCAGCTCTTGTGGGTCTGAACTGTGGAGCAGCAGCACCATCTCCAAACACTGCTGCATCCCTCTGGGACCAGAGGCATGCCACACCACTGCCCCCCACCCACCCACGGATGCTGGCACCTGGTAGACAAGAAGCTCCCACCACCCCACACAGCAGGTGAGGAGATACCACACATCAGTAAAGAGGAATTGACCCCCACAGTTAACAGGAGCCACGAACAAGCTTCCATGTTGCTGCTAATCAGCAGTGCTGAGGCCTCCAGGGGCTGCTGCAGGCACGATCACAGTGACTGGTAACGACGTTGGGAAGGGCTCAGTCACGGCACCTTTTATTAGCTGAGCCCGAGCAGTGGCACTGCTGGAGAGGAGCCCCATGAGCCTCGCTGTGCTGCGAAGGCTGCTGGCCCCCCAGAGCAGGGTGCAGGCTGGGGTGGCCCCCTGGTATCCACTGGGGTCCTACCCGCCGGTTGGCAGAGGAGCCACGGTAAGCGATGTTGTTGAAGAAAACCTCCAGCTCCTGGTCATTGTCAAAGTCTGCTGCAATGACGGTGCGGACAGGTGACGGCATGGAGAACTTGGGGGTGGCGATGTCCTGCGCAAAGGGTGGGCATGGGGTGACAATGGGCACAGGGAGTAGGACACCGGGTCCCCCTTTGGTGCTTCAGGTTCCCTTCTTGCTGGGAATTGGGGCTCAAAGCCAAACCAGGGTGTAGCTGACCCCCTCCATCCAAGGAGGTTCAGCGGCAAAGCTGGCAGGGGTCCCAGCCCTCACCCGGAATCGGATGCGCCCGGGGGCCCCGCTCTGCAGGTAGAGGCGGTGCGGCCCGTTCCAGTTGCCGTAGACAATGTCCACCCGGCCGTCGCGGTTGAAGTCAGCCAGTGCCACGCCACGTCCATGCTGGTAGGGGTCATCCAGCCCTGGGGAGCCGCAAGGGGACAGGGGGAGACGAGACCCCCTCCCTGCCTCTGTCTCCCCAGGATGCCTCCCAGGATATGTCCCGTGGTTCCCAGATAGGTCCTCCCTGGTCAGGGGTCCATCCCTGCACTGACAGATGCCCTGGTGCACCTCAGCCACCCTGAGTGGTCAGTGGGGCTCTGGGTCCCCAGGGCTGACCCTCCACCCTGCACCCAACGAGCCCAGGCAGGCAGAGCCAGCCCTGCCCTGAGGTCCTCAATACCTGGACGCTCCCCCCCAGCTCCACTTACCCACAGCAGCTGCTACGTCCCGGTACGTTCCGTCCCCCAAGTTGTGGAAGAGGAAATTGGGGCTGTTCTCATTACCACAGAATATGTCGGAGGCGCTGTCGCTCAGGATGGGGCCCACGGCCACCCCACGACCCCCTGGGGACAGCAGCCCAGAGGTGAGGGGACAGCTGGCACCCTGCCCCAGGGCAGTTCATGCCCCCCATACCCCCTTGGCGCTGCCCACCTGGTGCTCCCAGGACCCCCAGTGTCCTCTCCTTGCCCACCTCCCACCTTCAGTCCCTCTCATCAGGAGCTAATTGGGCCTAGCAGCCGCTTGTGTCACTCCCAGCCCTAATCACTGCCATCACCATGGTGACAACACTCCTAATTAGTGACAATTTACTGCTGGGGAGACGAGGCACAGCAGTGGTCCCCGCAGTGGTGGGGCAGCATGGAGCGCAGGCTGGCACGGTCCCCACTGCCCTGCTCCTTTGCCCACCGCCCCCAGTGACGCTGCCCACCCCGCACATGCTGCAGCTCCGGAGGGATCAGCCCAGGCAATGGTGGGCCCTCGGGGGTCCTGCCAGGCGGGCATCCCGTGGCCATGGTCCCTTCCACGGGTCGTGGGGCTGCCACTAGATGGGGCAGTCAGGCAGCCTAACGCCTGGCACGGGCTGCTGCCTGCACCCGGC